TTTTAAAGTTGAAATTAACATATATAAGATGTTCGATCTAATATATTTGTTTTTAGCAATATGTGCCATATTGTCTTATATTGTTTTATTTTTGCACTTTAAAATAAATATTTAACATCATGTTATTAATAAACAGATTAATGCGTATATAGGAGTGTCAAAATGGGTAACCTAGCCCCTAACTCAACTCATTATCTACAAAGCCGTGCCAAGGTCAATGGTTACCAGAGGCGGTTAAATGAAATTTGCCCCAATTCACAAAACAAAGATACTTCTACAAAGCTAGAGCTCTAAATTAAACTGTCTTTTTTTCCCATGTAAGCAAATCGGTTCCTGATTGGCTCTCCCTATCGGATAGTCTCTTTCCGACAACTTAATAGAAATGGTGTTCGAGGAAAAAAAAAAAAGATGCTTCTACAAAGATAAATTGCCATATGATGAAATTAAGTCAAAACCAAAACATAAAATTAGTTCTAAAACGTAATTCTTCTCCCTTTCTCTCCAACAAAATTATTAGCCAAACATTCATAGTCAATTTCCCTAACCAATTCTCTTTCGATAGATAAGATCGCCAAGTCACTCAATCGTTTTTCATGATTATTAAGTAATACATTATAGTTTTAGTTATAAGATGTATTGTATTATTATCAAACTTTGAAATACTATGAAACATCTAATATATTTTTATATACAATACAATTTCTATAATGCATAACTTGATAATCATTAACCTAAATTTATAATACTTTGTTCTGTTTAGTTTCCTAATTCTTTTAATATTTTTCTACTTTAATTTTATTTTTCTTATTACTTAGATAAATGCAAGTGATCTTTCAATATTGGGCATATTAAACTAAAGGTATCTTGTAGAAAAATATGCTTCTAAGTTTTTTTCAAAAATTTGAGGACGTAGGCGAAGGTTTCTTTGTTATACCTTGAGGCACGACTCTGATTATCTAATGAGTTTACAGTTAAATGAGTTAATAGTTGACCCATTAAAATAATAAATTAATTAATAATCAATATAAAAACAACAATATTCATCATCATTTGGTGGGAAAATCACGGATTTACATTTTTAGCAAAAACGTTACAAGTTTAGGTTTTTGGCGGGAAATTTGCGGATTCACAATTTTTTGTCGCTGAGATTTGCGGATTCACACTCCGAGTATACATTGTATAAATTATCTTTTAATGATATTTAACTTGCCTACATTTTAAATAATTACTCCAACATTTCGTATATTTAAAATCAATTTACATGCACCAAAACATGGTCAAAGAAACCTTATGATCTAATGTTCACTTTAATAAAAAGATAATGCAACATATAAAAAAGATTGAGAATTGAAAGATATTAAGGAGAAAATAGATATAAATTATCTTGAAAACTAATTTATATTCGAGTATATTATATATAAGCCAATATAAGGTAAGAAGAGAATAGATGTTGGGAGACGATGAGTGAATCATAGAAGATAAAAAAAAAAGTTGTAATAAAAAATGTGAGAAATGTTTTACTACTTTGAAAGATAATGCACATGAGTAAAGTAAAATCTTTAAAAATTCAAATGATTATATTTATATTTAAAAGAAAAAAAATTTGTATTGAATCACCTATATTTTCTATATATCTATTGGTTTATGTATGTTTCAATAAAAAATAGTTTAAATAATTAATTTGTACCACAGTTCCTGATTAACATTATATTATTAATTAATTAAATATGAAAAAACTCAATAATTTATTTTAATTTTCAAAAGGATATTTTGTTAATAGAAATTAAATTAGTCAAATATGACATAAAATACTAAATCGTTGAGACATAGCGACAAGAAAAACTTGATCTAAGTTTACATGATATATGAAATTTAGCCGTTTTATATTTTCTATTTTTTTGGTTATTGTAAAATACACTTTCAGAAATTAAAAGATAACAATAAAATATGTAGGCTTCTTAAATAAACATATATAATTTATTATAATAACATAAGAATATATCTATTCAATTTATGTTATCATATTTTTTTGGCTATAAGTAAAACAAAACCAAAATCAAAATTCAAAATCTTTAAGAGACAAATTCTGAGACACTTAACCTACTTTTTCTTTTCTTCTTTATGGTGCTTTTCAACTTGCCTCCATGAACTTTTTTGTTTTACACGTGTTATAATGTGTTAAAAGAACCAATCCTTTCACATTATATAATTTTGTTTAGATATAAAATAATGACATATTAAAATTGAAGGATCAGACTACTTTGTAAATAGAAGGTTATATAACGGATATATTTTTCTATTATATTTTAACAGTATATATAGATTTATATTAGGAAAACAATACAATTTGATGATGTTTGAACTTTGATCTCCTAAGTGCGGTTGATAAGTTTTGGTGGAGTTCTAATGGCGAGTCAAAAGAAATGCACTGGATGGCTTGGAATAAGCTGTGTAGTAGTAAATCGGAAGGTGGTGTAGGATTTCGGAATGTAGATGATTTTAACTCGGCGTTACTAACAAAACAATTATGGCGTTTGATTACGGTTCCTGATTCACTTTTTGCAAAGGTTTTTAAAGGACGGTATTTTTGGAAATCCAATCCATTGGATAATATAAAATCATACTCTCTTTCTTATGGTTGGAGAAGTATATTGTCAGTTAGATCTCTGGTTATTAATAGAGTCGGTTCTGGGGCGTCCATCTCAGTTTGGGAGGATCCATAGATACCAGCTCAATTCCCGAGACCAGCAAAAAGTAATGGTTCAATTATTAACCCATCTTTGAAAGTTAATAGCCTTGTCGACACCCGGTCAAATTTTTGGAACATGGATCTCTTGAGGGAGCTCTTTGATCCTGAAGATGTCGCGCTGATTAGTGTCTTGCCTTTGGGTGCGTCAACCAAAGAGGATACCCTTGGTTGGCATTACACTAAATCTGTAAAATATACGGTTAAATCTGGTTACCATACGACTCGGATAGAGGATTTGGATGTCTGTTCATAATCTTTTGGCCCGAATATAAAACCTCTAAAAGCATATGCTTGGAAGGTGCAGTGTCCACCTAAGCTACGGTATTTTTTGTGGCTAATTTTATCAGGTTGTGTACTGGTTACGGAGAATTTGCGAAAAAGAAGTATAAATTGTGATACCGGATGTGTTAAATGTGGTACCATAGAGGAAACAGTTAACCATACACTTTTTGAATGCCATCCAGCGAGACAAATTTGGGCTCTTTCTCAAATTCCTTCGGTCCCGGGGATTTTCTCTGCGGCTTCTATTTACGAGAACTTGGATCACCTATTTTGGAGAATACCTTCAGAGGTAGAATCATCTTCTTATCTATGGATAATTTGGTACATTTGGAAAGCAAGGAATGAAAAGATCTTTGACAATGTGGATAAAGATCCATTAGAAGTCTTACATTTAGCGGAGAAAGAGGCGCAATCGTGGCAGCTAGCTCAAAATGAGCTTCATACTTATAACCATGGTTTTTTAGATAATGAAAATCGAAACCGAGTGAGGGAAATATCACTGTTTATTCAGGATATCGTTGTTTCATAGATGGATCATGGAAAGGAACCGATACTTTTTCAGGAACAGGATGATATTGTACATCATCAAATTGAGAGATGTCAACCATGAGAGTTGCCAATATCCGTAGAACTCTATCTCCTCTACATACAGAAGTCGAAGCTCTTCTTTGGGCGATGAAGTATATGATTGGTGCTGACAACCAAGATGTAGCTTTCTTTACAGACTGTTCAGATTTGGTGAAGATGGTGTCTTTTCCAACCGAATGACGGCTTTTTCAGTGTATCTGGAGGACTTTCAGAGTGACAGGAAAGAATTTTCAACCTTTTCTCTATCTTTAATTCCTCATAGCTCAAATGTAAAAGCAGATAAATTGGCTCGACAAGTTCGTACCGAACCGCTTCATATCACATATTTAAACAACATTCCCAGGAATGGTTATTTTGAGCTTTAATTTAAGCTGTTGACAAAAAAAATGGTAAATAATATCAAAATTTCATATGTTTTAAGTGCTTGCATGGAATTTATCTACTAATTTTTCAACATTTAATATAAAACTTATGTAGAAAAAAATATATCAACAACACTTAATCCAAACAAACTAAGTGTGTAGGTTATTATTTTTATTAATGAACACTAGAATTTGATCTATTATTTCGAGACAATTGGTAATAAATGTATCATCACAAAAAAAAATTGTGGTATATATTAATTTTTTATTTTATTATATAATGTTTTAAAGATAAAAGAATAAATTATATTTTATTAGTTATTCACAAAAATATTTCAAAAATTGAATATATTTAAATTATTTTCAAAACATAATAACAATACAAATGTACTTTCCATATATTATTTTATGTAAACTTCGATATGTATACAAAATAACTGAATGCATAACCCACGCATCGCGTGGGCAACTTTCTAGTAATAATATATTTTCTAACGTTTACAGAACATAGTATAAATCGGAATCGATTTTCCGACAAAATTAGAATATCAAGGAAAGCGTAGAATACATGTTCTACGGTTTTTAGAAATTTGTAATCCAGTCTTCTGAATTTGTTAGGAAAAAAATCTAGTCTAAAACTTGTAGAGCATATATAAATGTTTAGAATAGAAACTCTGATATTCGTAGAACACTAAAAACGTATTCTAATAATATTAGATTAAATTTTATCCATCAAAAATCATTTTTTTCAACTAAATCACCAATTTTGTTTTTACAAAGTATCTAGATTTTTGTATATCTACATTTTTTTGGTAAAATCATTCAAAAAATGCTTAAAATAGAGAGTAGGTGTATTTTGGTCCAAAATGACATTCTCAATAAAAAGGTGTACATGGTCAAATTTTTATTTAGACCTCCTTTATTTCTAATTTTCTCTAAATTATATTGTTATCAATTATCATTAGTGTACCCTAATCTCTTATCTATCTCTCTATAAATAGATGTAAATCTCATTCTAATAAAGTTAAAATATTAAAATTCTATATGGTATAGAGCTTACGATTCTAAAAACCTAAAAAAAATCTTCAAAAACTCTTAGCCATCACTATGGCAACTATGACAAATGCAAATAGTGCTCCAGCCACCGGTTAAGCAATCCAGACCTCCTCTCCAACACTCTTCAATGTCAACAAGTCTAACATCACAAAACTCAACTCCATGAATTATCTAATGTGGAAACGTGAGATCCACGCCTTGCTTGATGGCTAGGAACTTGCGGGATACCTCGATGAATCCACCGTTGCTCCACTGGCCACGCTTACAACAAACAATATCATCACCGCAAATCTAGACTTCTCTTTCTTGAAGCAACAAGACAAGCTTTTGTACAACGCTATGATTGGAATAATCACTCATCAGGTTCAATCATTGTTAAGTGATATTTTTAACACATTTTATATGTTTTATCGAATCTTTTATTCAGAAACAAGTTGTTTTCGATGTAAATAAGTGTTTTTAGGAATTTGGACCTGTGGAACAGAAGTGGGCATTTTTAGGAAGAAATGGGCCAAAAAAGACAAAAAAGGAGAAAATCCAAGTGGCCTGATCGGTGAAGAATTGCACCGACCAGTGGAAGAACGCATGGTCCACGGATCGATGAGCTTTCATTAAACCGCCTATTTTCTCTCTTTAGGGACCGCACCTCAGACCTTATAAATACCCATGTATTATGTAACCACATAGATTTTTTTTGGTATGAATGTAACCACATAGATATGCTTTACTTTTACGATTTTATAGTTTAAGGTGTTTTTCCCTTCTTCATTGTTTATGCTTTAGAATCTCGATTCCTTTGGTAGATCTCTCTTAGCCCTCGTAATCCTTCTTCTACAATGAACACATGTACCTAGGTCAGAGTAGTCCTATCATGGAGTTACCCTGGTTGATTAGCATTTCTAGACAGAACCATGAAGAAAAAGTTCTTGTGATCGCTGAAGATTACGCTACTTTGTACAAAGTCAACGAAAAGTGGCCTGGTCATGCTGTTCTCATTCCTCCAGCGTTGGATCCTCAAGCCGCACACATTTGGTTCCCAGGTACAGAGAGAGTTTTCACCTTTTCTTATGCAACGTCCGTACCTAGTTTGATATAATAATTTCCTTAACTTTAAGTTCATAAAATCTATATTCGAAACTCGGGTTATTATGTATTTGTCTTTGGTATTGTTGTTTGTTTGTAGATTTTGGTTTTCTATCTTCTTTGTTGCGTCTCTGTGTTCTGTAAAAACTCGAAAATTGGTATAAATCTTCATATGTTTACCAAAAATAATGTTTTAGTTAGGATACTTATTTTTCTACTTTGCATATATCTTGGATATTGTTTTATTAGCTAGTGTTATTTAACAGATTACTTGGATCATAAGTTTTTGAAATGATTTTGCCTCCTCTGTTTTACGGTATAGCCGCTTAGAAACTCTCCTTTATGTCTTGCAGTAGTTATGACTTTTACTACAATGATGCAACCAATAAATCAAATAATTATTGGGGTAGAAGTTTCATATAAATGTATATATTGTCATGCTAGTATTTTTCTTTCTAAGAGGTGGATTAAAATAATATGGTTGAAGTGTACAGATAACACGTATGTAATGGATTGTACTAGGTCCCATTCTTCTAATCTCTCTTTAATTTTTTCTGAAGAGTCTATGACTGTTCAGAACTATTATATTTGACACCAATGTGATAATCTATGCAAAGAATATCTATACTAGAATGCGAATAATCAGATATTTTTAAAAAGAAAAAAGGGTAATATAAATTCGGGTACCCACAGGTTACCCACACTCGCTCGGGTTTTTTTCGGGCTTACCCATAAGAACCCGAAACCCATCGGGTTTTTTGAGTTCGGGTTTTTCGTGGACGGGCTCAACTCGGGTTCGGGCTGGGCCGGGTTTTTTTACCCACGACTACATTCCTATAATTTATTATATTCGATAGGGTTTCTTCAATCTGACATCTCGGAGGCCACAACATCTCTTGAACATTTTGGAGCTAGGTTACAATGTTATGTACAATGATGTTGATATGGTCTGGCTACAAGATCCGTTTCAATATTTACAAGGAAGCCACGACGCATACTTCATGGATGACATGATTGCGGTACGTAACATATCTGCATCTTTTGCATTTTAATTAAAGTGTTTATGTATCTTTATTCTTTGTTTGATTTTGGTGCTGTCAGATTAAGCCTTTGAATCACTCCCATGGTCTACCACCTCGGAGTCGAAGCGGAGTGACTTATGTATGTAGCTGCATGATTTTCTTGCGTTCCACGGATGGCGCAAAGCTTCTAATGAAGACATACATGGGTTGAGGAAATTCAAGCTCAACCTTGGAATAACACTCAAGCAAAGAAACCACATGATCAGCCTGCTTTTAATCGGGCACTTCACAAAACAGCTAATCAAGTATGTAATGTTGCTTCCTCCCAATTCCACATTTGCTTTCTCTAAAATTTCACAAGCTTTGTTCTGATTCCACATCGAAAATTAGGAAGGACCAAAAATAATAAATAAGATACATGAACAGATGAACCAATATATTTATTACCAATTGCTCTTGAATTAGAAGTTCATGAAATTTAACATGGTATCAGAATCTAGTTTACTCAAACCGGCTGGATTTAGTAAGATTTATGGTTGGTTTTAAAATGTGATTCGGTTCAAGATCGAATGATAAAAGTCATCATCTCGATGGAACGTATTAGGATCACACATTGGAAGTTAGACTAAACTTTTTTGGTACTTTGATATTTTAAATTTATCTACACATAACTCCTATTGTCTACTTATGAATGTTCGATTATGACTTTCGTTTCACACACAAGGTTATTTTCAGAATCTAGTTTGTAAACTCAACTCGGCCGGTCTAAGTAAAAATTATTGTTGGTCTTAAAATATGATTCAGTTCAAGATATATAGGCCGATATAAACCATCATCTCGATGGAACGTATAGGATCACGGAAGTTAGACTAAACTTTTTTGGTACATTTTTTATTCTACTCATAACTCCTCTAATCTACATATAAATGTTTGATTTTGATTACGACTTTCGTTTCAGTTTCAAAGGTTATTTTCACTTGTTCAAATTCATTCTCAACTCTTTTGTGATCTTTCTATTAAGCAGGTAGATGTCTACTTGCTTCCGCAATCAGCTTTCCCATCAGGAGGATTGTACTTCAAGAATGAGACATGGGTTAATGAGACAAAGGGGAAACATGTCATAGTCCACAATAACTACATTATTGGTTACGAACGGAAGATGAAACGCTTTCAAGACTTTAATCTATGGCTAGTAGATGACCATGCTCTCGAGTCCCCACTGGGAATATTAAAGTAAAAATTTTAATGCACCAAAAATATTCCATCTCCTCTATTTTTGTTTTTATCTGGAGACAAACATCAATATGAATTCTTTGCCGTTTTTCGCCTCTCAGGATATACCAAGAACAGAATACTACTACTGAAGGGAAAAATCAGACGACCACAGGGAGAAAACAGAGGAAAAACAGGGGTAAGAAACATAAGTTACCATAGAGAGGACTTCTTCTTATGTATAGTATCTCGAAAGTGTTGCCCAGAGATTTATTCAAACTCGATTACTTAGATTTATGTTCAAGGTCACTAATCATAATAATATGATATTTATACATCAATACATTCATCAGCACTATTTCATTATGTCTTAGAAGTTAGAACCGATTCTCAAATGAGAAATTTCTCTCATTGAAACATGAACACTTGTCATTCTATAGTTGCTTCAACCTTTTTTGGATAAATCAATTATCACATAGTTTAGAATATTAATTAAAGTAGTGCATACTTTGTTTACTTTTTATAAATCATAAAATAAAATAACCTATATATCAAGCTCCATTATGTATAAGTTTAAATTATATTTTAATACTAATTTAATTGATATTAAAAAAATATTAAATTAATATTTTTTAGTTCATACAATAATATAATATTTTTAAAATTAAAAATATATATTTTGATGATTTTTGTCAACATTTTGGTAAAATCTTGTCTAGTTAAACTTTTTTTTCCTATTTTTCTTAAGTTTACTCTATGTACCTTTGCTTAATTGTGTTATTTAAGAAAGTATAACTCTTTGATTGTATTATTTACCACGGATTGCATTTTTAGTTTTTGTTATTAATATTAAGATTACTAATATTGAATATATTTAACATGTAATTTGATTTTTTTTAAAAAATAATAATGAAAATTTAACATAAAATTTTTAAATTAAGTAATATAAAAGTATTTTATTGATCTTTATTTCTTTGCTAAAAAAAATAGAAAAATATTATTAATATATTTATGAGATACCCAATAGGCATCTCACCGGTGGAGGTTGTATTTGATAATGAAGTTTTCAACTTAAATTAAAATAGATATAATTAAAATTTTGGTGAGATACGGTCTTAGCGACAAATAATAGGAAACTTTTTGGTGACAAAGAAAACAAAAAGGAAACTATGAGTCTAAATGGTAACATCAAAAAAATATTCAGCTGGATTCAGCCAGATTCAACACTTCTGCAGTGACCATTTACAAATATTATAATTCAGTCAGATTCAGCTCAAAATCACTAAATATTAAGCGAGATTCAACAATTCAGCCAGATTCAGATTCCTCGGTCACACATGAATGATCCCATTCCCAAACTCGCAGTGGAAGTTCAGGTCCAAGAGAGAAGTCTCTCTCCATCAGAAGGATATACAAACTCAATCCTCCTCATCATCAATACCATAAAGGATGAGATCCTTGTAAACCCTGCCACCGGCCATCGAACCGTAACGTCAATTCCGCTTTCCTATAAATCACTTCCCATCAATTTCAGTCTCCCTAGTTGTAGTCACCAGCACATCCAATCGTTACTCCACGATCGACTCTATAGCGACGACCATTGGTTGTGCGAATACTTAGTCCCAAAGATCTCAACGGCAGCAATCAACTCAGGTTTTGGGTACAATGGCGTTGAATTGAATGTGTGCGTCACAGTTAGTTACCGGTACTTCCATGTCGACGAGAGATCATTAAAGATATCAAGGATGGTTCTACAAGGGAGCATAAAAGCAGAGGAATTGAAGAGTTTGAAGATGAAAACAGAGTCCTGTTCAATTTGTCTCCAGAGTCTAGTCTCCGGTATGAAAACAGTACCCACTCGCATGAGTTGTTCACATGTCTTCCATAATGGATGTCTCGTTGAGTGGCTATACCGCAAAAACACTTGCCCAATGTGTCGGACTGTGCTCTACGATCGATGATTATTGGAACAGAAGATTGAAATTTGGTTTCATCTACTGAGATAGCATTACTTGGGTATGTAATTTAGTGTTTTTTGGATTTTAAATCGAATTCAAGAAGAGGTTTGAAGTTTGTAATAGCATCATTACTTGTAATCACATAAACTCTAAACTTTGCTCGTATAAATAAGTTCACATGCTATTTGTGAAGTCTTAATTAATAACAAAAACCCTTCACATCAAGCTGTTGCTGAAAATAAAAGTAAAATTGTTAAGATTGGTTTTTGGAAAACAGAGGAAAAACAGGGGTAAAAAACACCTAGAGAGGACTTCTTCTTATGTACAACAAGTATAGGATCTCGAAGTTGTTGCGTTGAGATTTATTCAAACTCCATCACTTACATATATATGTTCAAAGTCTCTCATCATCTTAATATGCCATATCCAAGAACATGTATGTTTGCTCCCTTAGACATTGTCTTCTTCCTTTTCGTCTGAGTTTCAAAGCTGATTAAGTGATTATAGTCTCTAGTGGTGTGATCACAATTTAATACTTGTCGCTCAAGCCATCGTCTTTCTCCTCAGAAACTTGCTATACTCGAGAATCATTGCTCCCATCGCAACTTCTACCTGATTCGGTTGTCAAGATTCGTACACCACATTCAACAATCTTGCAGTTGTTTAATCGACTTTTAAGTTCAATCAATATCTCGCTGCCCGCTTCAAGGGATATCTCTTCTTCAGGCAAGTCACAGTGAAATATACACAGATGTTGCATTTGAATTCTCGGGGATACACAAGGGTTTTTGTAATAGGCAGATCCGCTTTTGCCTATTATACGACCCCATAAACCGAGATATCGGTATCCTCTTTTCCGTTGGTTAGGTGAAACTGTGACGCAAACCATAAATCTAGAGGATGGAGAAAACGTATTACCATCGTCTCGTTGAATGGTCAAGGAATTCCCTCGTGCTCTTTGATTGAACTCTGCCGGCATTACTCTTCCAGGTAAGCATGCAAAGCCATCACGAAACGATCGTTGTATAATGGCATTTCGTGATTCTCCAGTAAGTTTGAAGCAGTTGGTGAAAATGAGTTTCGCATTTGGTGTGTTTAGAGGGCAAGTTACTCTCTCCAATGATTCACAACCGTTAGCCATTAGCAATGTGAGTGAACTTGGGAGCTCGGGTAATGATGCGAGTTTTTTGCAGCCAGAAAGATATAGGCATTGCAATCTCCTAAAACTTTTGATGCAATCTGGAATCTCCTCAATATTAGTATAGCTTAGGTTTAGACGCCTTACTCTTGTGGGAGTGAAAGGACGAGACAACTTCCTTGTTGACACATGCACTGCTTCGTCCTTTGTATCAATGTTGGTAGTAAGATTTGGGAAACTTCGCAACCGTGAGCAGCCAAACATCTCCAAGTCCTCTAGTTTATGAAGATTCCCCATAGAGAGTGGAAGTTCAACTAAACTCTCGCATCTAGTCAGGCTCAATCTCTCCAAATTTGTAGCATTTGAAAGATTTGGGAGTTGCTTCAACTGTCGAGACCATGACAAATCCAAATTCTTAAGATTATTCAGCATCTGTACGTAAAAGCATAAGAAAGAAAAACATCTAGTCAGGTTCAATCTCTCCAAACATAATGAGAATGTAACTAATCATATTATATTTGGCCTGCCTATAGCAATCCATTTTTAATATACAGGCTAAGCTCGGATCACTCTGCAAGTTTAGCCTCTATCCAATTCACCATGAACTAATTATAAACTTCTTAATTCCATCATAACTATTTAATTTATCCCAGTTAAAAAAATTCAATTAATCTTGTCAATTATGATTTAAAATCCTTATATTGTGTTTATTTTTCCGCGATTACACTAACTCGAGTTTAATAGATTGGCCCGACAACACTTTTCAATCCATATTCAAACCCAAAAAAAGTGTTGTCGGGTAAACTCAAGTTAGTGTAATCGCGGAACTGTGAAAAACTGTTTCTAATTGTTTGGTATTGAACTACAATCATGTCAAAAAGGAACATTAATCCTATTGAGAAAATCAGGCCTTTGTTGCCTGACTAACAAATTGGTATCCAAGTTTGGTATCGACAACATTTACTAACTTATTTCTGGTTTAATTATGCCAAAAGTTTCGATGGAATGAAAAATTATTTACCGTCACACCGGAAGAACATACAATCACAACATTATTTTATCTAAACTTCTATATATAGAGGCTTTGGATAGACTCACAAATCATCTCAAAAACTTTATTTTCATTTTTTGTGGGTTTGTAATAATCACCAAAATTGGCATAAAACTAGTAAACTTTTGATTAGCATTAACAAATCATCTCAAAAGCTTTTGATTGTATCTTTGTTCTACAATGATGTCATTTGAAAAGAAAATTGCCAGAATTATATACATGAAAATTATTATCTGATCAAACTGTTAAATTATTGCTAATCCTGAAAAGATTATATTTTAATAAATTTTATAGTATTTTTTAATAATGATAGGATTTTTATAATATTTTAAAAGAATTATAAAATCATTTTGTAAACTTATTTTAAACAATGTTCTATTTGTGTGGCGTCAAATCTAATCAAAACACATAACTAACCTGAGTTCCTTCCCATAGCTTCTCGAGCTGGCTATCCCGCATGTGGAGTTCAATGAGATTTTCTGGGCAAAATTGAAGAGGGAGAGTCTTTCTTGGGTATTCTTTCCAATGTAGTAACCTTAGACCAGCTGGAAACTCCATCTCTTCAGGTATGTACACTTTATCATTTCCATCATATCTTGTCTTGTAAACACGGAGAAATCGAAGATGACGCATTCTTCTAAGAGCTCGGTCGCTAATAATCACTTCTTTGATTCCTGATGTATCAAAGGATATGCCCGACACAGCTCGAGTACCCTAAATCAAACAAGGAATAAGTACACTGTTAGCACAATAGATAAATGGAATTAAGCAAATATATGGAACCAAAAAATAAAAATAAAAAGCTAACCGTATCATTTTCAAGGACATCACAGATCTCTCGAGCATCAATTAAGATTTGGCGTTTCCAAGGGTCTTGTCTATGAATGGCTTGTCTACCTACTTGTTGAAGTAACTTGTGCATAACTATTTCCCCTTCAGTTGATATATATATGAGAGATTTATTTAATAAAGTTTTCAATCCTTGTTTGATATCCAAGTTATTGTCAGCAAGCATGGCATTTATAAGATCTCCATCTTTATAGTTGAAGAATATTGCAATGTAGAGAAAGAGGGTTTGTTCATCCTCAGCTAAACTTTCATAGCCAACTCTTAGCACATCCTCGATGTCTCGATCAAGAATACTTTCTAGCCTGCGTATTACGTATTCCCATTCGTCTTCATTTTTCCCATGCAAAGAAGAACCCACCACTCGTAGACCTAGTGGAAGGTTACCACAAAGCTGTGTTACACTTTTTGCGAGCTTTTTATAACCATTATATGGATAGCTTTGTTTAAAAGCATATCTACATAAGATCTTAAGAGCTTCCTCATCAGATGGAAACCCCACATTGTACATATTATTGATACCATGTCGCTGCAAAAGATCTTTGTTTTCAGTTGTCACAATAATCCTACTTCCAGGACCAAACCATGTAGTTTCATCAGCCAAAGCTTCTAATTGCTTTATATCATTCACATCATCAAGAATGACAAGCACTTTCAGGTCGCATAACCTTTCTCGTATTACACCTAAATGGCATATCCTCGTACCGTCTTGCTTCAAAAGATTTGAAAGAAAGTGTTCTTGTAAACGCAATTTTGAGCCATACTCATCAAGACCACTATGATAGATCCCCCTAAGGCTTTCCGCAAAACAAGTAAGTTGAAACCTATCAGAGAGTAAGCTTTGCAAAGCTCTAGCAATAGTAGTCTTACCACTGCCTGCAGGACCAGAGATGCCAACCATCATAGTTCCACCATATTCCAAATGTAACAATGACTGCATTTGCGTCATATGACCCTCGAGTCCAACCATGTCATCAAAATCCCTTGATGGTGTATTATTTAACTTTTCTGAAACATCTCTTGCAATCTTCTCAATCATGTTTGCTTCATTATCCCTACCAAGAGAAAATAGGAAATATTGTCTCAATCAAATTGTTTTCACTCTTGAGAAAAATTGATTATAAAGATAAGATAACATTATTCCTTTCCTACTAATTTAATTTAATATAAAATTAATATTGATTCAACAAGATACTATAATATCCAATGTTCCAAATATTGTTAGGCGGTAGATAACTGTTCAGTAGCGGCCTAGCGCCTAGATCGATTGATCAAAGCTTAAGGCGGAGTCTACGCGTTAGTAAACTATTTACTTATTTTTTATATTTTTTTTTCTGATTTTTATGATAAAACATGATCTATAAAATATCAAATGCTAAAAATGTTACTTATTTGAACATGTTATATATAGTAAAACCTCTATAAATTAATACAGTTAGGACTATAATATTTTATTAATTTATCGAGTTATTAATTTATCGATATACTAATTATCTCGAAAACCAAATTTGGGACAAAAAAAATGTATTGATTTATCGAAGTATTAATTTATCGAGTATTAATTTATAGAAGTTATACTATATTCACATCTTGTTTACATGAGAACTAAAATAGTTAAGTTACGATTGGTAAGAATTATTTGGGGCTAACTTAAATCATGATTTACAATTTCATTAAACATCTTTTCTATATAAATTTAATTATTTTTTCACTTAATCAAAACTGTGTTAATTTATTTATAAACCAAAAAAGAAAGAAAAACCAGGTATTGAGAGCAACCACATCGGTTGAAATAAGTTTTTGAGTTTCTTATAAATTAAATATTAATTTTTAATATTAAAAAAATGGACCACTAACAGATAGACAAATGGAGGGAGATAGACAAATGGAGGGAGAGTTTCTAAAATGCCTAGCAACGTACCTTAAAAGGGTAACATCTCTAGTTTTCTCTCCTTTTTTGTATTTCTTTTTAATATTATAACTAGGATTTAACCCGTGGTACACCTCGGGGCAAATTTTTTATTCATATATATAATAAATATTAAATTTTATAGTTTTTAATTTAGTATTATAGTTATATAATTTTATATTAATGTTGTAACTAAAAAAAATTAGTGATGATAAAATAATAAAATAAAGATATAACCC